ATGATAAAAGTTAATGATATAAATTTCTATTCGAAGTATCTTAAAATTCCCAGGTGCGTAGCTATTGATGTTCGCCCTTGCTTTATGAAATTATATTCTAAGGTCGAAAAGAGCAGTTTAGCATTCTATCTAAGCAAATGTGGGCTCAAAAGTAAAATGGTTATGCCTTTTAATCATATGTTCAAATATTACAAAAATGCACTAAACAATAAAGATGCTACAATAGCTGAACAAATGTATGAAATAGCTGAATATTGTATAATTGATGCCCTTAGTTGCCAGTGTTTAATGGTCAAGCGCAATGCAATTAACGAATACAGAGAGATTGCAAGTATAGCCTTTTTATCATTATTCAATGCACACTGCTTCACAGGGGGGGTGAAGGTATATAATCTTTTAGGTGCCAGTGCATGGCAGGATGGGATCTTAACTAGTATGATTCAATATTAGCAAATGGAAACTGAAAAATACCTGGGGTCTACGTCTTCGCACCAATAAAGAGACTTGAAAATAGATGTCCTGTAACTGGTTTGAATTTCGCTTCATTATATTCAAATCTTATTATAACATATAACCTCTCACCTGATAAAATCATTTTATCAGAAGAGCGGGCTCTATCAGTAGAACATAGTGGAAAGAAACTTCATAAGATTGAGTTTCTATTTAATAATCAGCCTCTACGAGCCTGGTCAGTTCAACATAATAATATTTCTAAAGAAAAGAGGCTCTATGCCAATGTATTGGAATATTTATCTGGCAAACAGAATAAGATGAAAAAGCGCCTCACTTCTTTAAAAGGAAAAAAAGAAGATATGGATCTGGTAAAAAGTTCAATGGATAAAGGTTTATTATTATTAGAGGCTATTGAGCAAGTTTTGGCAAATACGGAGGAAAAAAAATGTGCTAGTATTACTAAAAATTTATATCACTTTATTAATAAGGAAAAACATGCAGTGCATGAATTTATAGCAGAATACGATTCTGTTTGTTTCGACTGCTTTTGCTTAGATGCGAAACAATATGCTTTTAAAGTATATATGAATATATTCTATGGGACTGCCAGAGATAGTAAATCCCCTTTTTTCTTGCGTGAACTTGCTGGGGGCGTCACATCAGCAGGACAGAGAAATATTAAACTTGTTGCAGATTTTGTTAAAAACAAGGGGTTCGGG